TCAAAAATTACCTCCTTGAAATCATCCCTGACTAACTGAACAATTGTTCAGTATTTTTATGTCATGATCCACTAGGACAGTGCACATGCTTCCCACTTATACATATCTCCTGATGATTCTTGAAAATATTTCTTATCTTCTGAAGTTGATTATAAATTTATTGAGGTAAAATCTGAATCGTTTGTGTGTGAGTTAAAGCCTGTTCCTTCTCTTTTTTTTTTTTTAGACATACTTCTTATTTCTCCCTAATATCCATCCTCATCTTCCTCCTTTTAATACTAGAACCCCTTCAAATTTTATCTGGCACATTATACCCAGTTGAAGACTACATTTCCCAGACTCCTTTGAAACTGTGGAAGGTCTTGAGACCAAATTCTAACCAATGGAATACCAGTAGAAGGGATCTGCGCAAAGTTTGGGAATTGCTTGTTTCTATTTCCTTATGCTCTTGCTTGTGGCCTGGAATGTGATCCTGGAAATGATTAGTCATCTTGGACCTTGCAAATGAGGGCAAATCCTAATGTAATAGTGAAACAAGAGAGCTCATCTGAGTTCCTGGGCTACTTTTTAAAGCAGACCTTTCTTTAAATGAATGGCCTATGAGCTCAGGTGTTTATGTACTTACAAAAAAAAAAAAAAAAAACTTCTATCTTATTTTGGCCATGTTTGTTATCTTTAATAAAACATTAAAACTAAAATTTTAATATAACAATTCTTTCAGTATTTAGCAGGATAATATGAATGGAGTGCAAAGTAACAATATTGTTGTTGTTTTTTTTTTTTTTTTGTTATGCTTTTGCTTTCCCTTAAATGTTCCATGTTCTTATTAATTATGGCTTGAAAAGAGAAGGGGTGGTTTGGATAGTTTCTCACTGAACTATATTCATTTTGTTGGAAAACTGATATCATGTCAATATACTCAATTGTTCTGATATCACTAATTAAGACTCTTGGAAGAACTATCTGGAATAGGAATATAAATTGAGCATTAAAAGAGAGAACTTTAAGTAGCCAGGAAAACTTGCAGAAATTTTATAGTTTTGAATCTGTAGGGAAATGGGGTCACATTCAATCTCTTAGATCCCTGGGCTGTCTATCAACTGCACTACCATGAACTACAAAGCAGAGAAAACAGCGTACCTCCAAATCTCCCGAAATATTGGCACCAGCAAGAATCCCAGTAGCTGCTGGGAAAAAAATAGCAAAGACAGAGAAGAAGCCTTCTCCTTTTGTGAAGCTTGGTCCAAAGTTTTCTGCAAATATTGATGCTACAACACAAATTACAAGAAAATTATCATGTAGACTTTTTTCACAGAGTAGAAAACCTTTGGCTTCTATAACTCTAAATGCAAATATATCTCAAGAGTCTAACTGGGATGAACTGAAAGATGCTGTTGTACTCCTGATGGATTTGTTAGTATTTGCCAACAGTCAAAATGTATATCATAAGACTTCAGAGCTCTATGACATAGCTCTGAAAAATCAGTAATTTTTTGTGTTAACAGAGATTCAGGATGCCTGACTTCTTTGAGTCTTGAAGAGATTGAAAGAGAAGACGAAAAACTCTTTTATCATCATACTGGCACATTCACAAAGTATACCATATACATTCACACATACCATGTCCCCCCACCAACTACATACTCATATACATACATACCTGAAACAAGCAACATTCTTTTTTTATGCTTTTAATTTAAATGATAGGAGAATTCTGTGGGTGAGGCTACTTGAAAATGTTATTATTAATTTTCTAATCTCTTTGCCTCTTGCCCCCAGAGTTTGGATCTTAGATCCTTATACCAAATTCTCATATGTGAGAGAGTAGTGCCTTGTCCCTACAGTAAGACTGTCCCACAGGTTGCCATCATATTTCTTAAGTGAAAGGAAACAATCTAGAAGAAAAACAGAAAGGAAAAAGAAAAGGAGGAAGAAAATCATGAACAAAAGAATCAGATGCAAAGAGGAAAGAAAATTTAAAACATCAGAAAAAAATACCATATGAATGGGAAAGAGGGAAAAGAATAGAAAGGAAAAGAATGTTCATGTCCAAAGCAAACAAAATAATCTTTACAGAGAAAGAGACTCAGGAAGATAGAGGTAATGTGATTTTTTTTTAAAGAAAACAAATATGGACAACTGAACAAATAATAAAGTGAAATACAAAACAAACTCAGCAGTGGATTCCAGGGTGGAAAGGTAGGAACAAGTGGGTATGTGGAACAGAATAGGAGAGAGAGGTCAAATTCCATGCTTGGTGATGTTATCCCAGGATGCTACACTAAGTAAACCTATAATTCTTCATGCTTGAAAACCTGACACTGATGCAACTAGCTAATGCCACAGCAAGGTTAAGATGCCAAAAAATCTACCAGGAAGGAAAAAAAAAATGTCTTTGTTTGACTCTAGTGCTCTGCACTGGTTGAACAAATTGTTCAAGCTGTGTTCTCTTTCCCTGCATGTAATTTCTATTCCCACTACTTGACAGCAACAATTTGTCCAGCATTTTAAGGTTTACAAGGCACTTTCATAACAACTATCTCATTTACTCTTCAAAATTCCCTCAGGAAGTTATTATTATCATCACCCACACATTTAGCAGGAAAATCTGAGACCCAAACACATCAGGTGACCTGTCCAGCTGATAAACAGTGGATTTAAAATTCAACCCTGTCTCTCCCAAATCCAATTCTAGTATGTGGTCTCTTTCCTGGGCTATGCTGGAATTCTGTTGGCTGTGATTGGGGGATAGGGACAGTGATGTGGGGAGCAACATGGGTTGAGGAGAAACTAATCTGTCATCTGTACCTTGGTAATTGAAGAAGCCTCTGGATTTCTTCTCATTGTTGGATGGAATGACAGTCCCAATGAAGAAGTTTGCAATTGCAATGAGAAGAATAATCAGAAGAATCACTTGAGCCTGGAACGGCAAAATGAAAGGGGATCAAATTAGATTTAGTTAATAACTTTTCACATAATTGTAGAAGTTATTGTCCACTGGAGAAAGACTCTCTGCTTATTCAATAAGGCTCTGCTCCCCAATGTCAGTGATAAGTGCATCCTTATGGACTATCATCTTAACAGACCCTCTTCTACTTAGATGTAACGACTGCATTTTCAGTTGGAGTATGTGCTTGGGTACTTGGAGGTGACACTTCAAGAACATTTTAAGTAGGAAGTGGGAAACTACCACAATAACTTCGAGGAATGTAACTGGAGCCAGAAGGTTTAACTTGTACAGATTTGAGTTCTTTTCCAGGCAGAGTACCTATGAATTCTTCCTCTTCCTACTGCAGAAGGCCTACCAGAGAACGGAAGGGTTCATGGAATTTCCATCATGCCCATAATGTCAGGCTGCCAATGTGTGCTCATGTGAACAGTCTACTACTGGCCAAATGGTCTTCCTTCAGTTCCTGAAACTTTTCAAATGGTGTACCTGCTTGACATCACCATATACTGTTGGTGTATGTACTCTAGCAGGATCTCACTTCACCCTAGTCTTCATGTATCTATTTCCTGCATCCTATAGGTCTCTGTGACCTCCTCAAAGAGCCCTCTCCTGCTACTTGATCTGAACTACAAGTACCTTATTCACTGAGGACTTATAATACAACAGATGAAGCTTTAAATTTTAATTTTGAGGTGGAACACTAGAGATTGAACACAAGGGTGCTTTACCATTGAGCTACATCCCTAACCTTCCCTCATATTTTATTTGTTTTTGTTGAGACAGGGCCTCACTAAGTTGCTGAAGTTAAATGATTTACTCAGGTCACAGAGATATAAATCAGATTCAAATCTAGGCATTCTAACTACAAAGGTGAAGTTTTAAATACTACTCTCTACTGCTGTGGAACTACTTTGTCTCCCTTGGGGCATAAAGTAATCTAAAACCAGTGTCCTTTTACTTCCTCCTTTTGCTTGTTGCTTGCTTGCTAGCTTTCTTTATTTCTTCCAGATCCTAGGGATTAAACCCAGGGCTTGTACAGACTAAGCAATCACACTACCACTGTGTTACATTCCCAGCCCCCTTGTTATTTTCTAATATCCCAGTGTCCTGTTATTTCCTTGATAGTATATTATATCATTTACCATTTTCTATTTGTTTTTCTATTTACTTACTCATCTATCCATAGACCAGATGCTGAACTGTGACAGGGATTATGCTTGTTTTGGTCACAACTGAATTTCTAGTACCTCGCAGAAGGCCCAGCACATGGCAGACACTGTTTAATGTGTGAATATTGCTTAACTTATGAGTATATAACCCAGAAATAGATGCCATGTTGGAATGTTTTCCTACTCCCTTATAGGGGTGGGAGGCTTTGAGGATCTTTCCATTTCTGGTGACCACTTGAGAACCAGTTACAGTGTCTCCAAGCTTGCAGAATATTTTCAGTGGCACAGATTCTTGTGTGGAGTTACAAAAGAGGCAAAAGACATGCTCCCTGTCATTCAGAAATTTACTCTCTGCTTTAAAATCTGCCAGTTAAATTCAGATGTATTCTGGTTCCAAAGCCTGTAACACATTAAAATTTGCTGGTGAAATTCTGGGTTTAAGAGGAAAATAATAGTTCTGCCTCTGCTACCTTTTCCCAACGCACCGTCACTTCTTTTGGGTTTCAGCACCCATGGGCAGCTTGAAAGGGAATACCAGGGCTTGTGGTTGAAACATGGGCTTCTAGTATGCACTGCGGTTAGGGTCATAAGGGGTCTGGGCATGAAGATGGAAGCAACTTTAGTGGCTGTGTCACTGGGATGACACAAAGGGCCAAGCACAGGCCGACAATGTGACACACAAGCTGTGAGGCATGACAAGACTTGGTGCTTTGTGGGCTGGAGGTTCCACCTAGCACTACTAAGTGGCTCCTTTTGCCATAGCAAATAGCCATTCTTTTTGAATATAGGGTTCTCTCAATTTCTGCAATTTGTTCAGAACCTGACCAGCAGTTGATAACACCATTTTGAGAAATTCACCTTTGCTTCCCATTCCATTCCAGCTACTGAAATTCCTAGGAGAATCACTACTGTGATGGAGCCTATTATCCGGATGTCATTGGTTGGATCCACCATCATTGAATCACTTTCCTAAAGGTAAAAAAGTCAATAGTGATTAGAGATAAAACTTTTTGCATATAGATATAGATACAACTTTTTGCATATCTTATTGTAACATTTACCAGTAAGAAGAGATTTTTGTACACTGATGCCTGGGGCCATTAGGACAATAGAAAAATGAAGTGCTCATAAATTTGAGAAGATAAAGAATCTACCTTTTTTTTTTCTTTGATAATAGACCTTGGATAGCCAAGGTTAGGAGTTGGAAATTTTAGAGATTCAGTATAGTCACAGCTTTTAAAGCCTACTGTAGCACTAAGTAAAAGCATATATGCATACATTGTGCTTTGTTTCAGAAGAATGATTAGTTATTTTAGGGTATCAGGGGGAATTCTAGAGGAATACCAATGAGTTTTTTAACAATGTGAATACTGGAAAATTATTCTTAAAAGCCCATTTAAGAATAGACAACACAAACCTCATAATGCATTTCTTGAAGATAATATGCCTCACAAAGTATGTAAATGCTCATGATTCATATAATTTTAAAATACAGGTCATTTTATTAATTGAATTCAGTGTGCACCATTGTTACCATAAGACAAAGATCATAAGTTAGTTTGTACACAAGCCAATTAGTGTGCTTATCCCTACACCATTCTAGTTTGGGTATCTAAAACGAGGAAATACCTAGTTTTCTGCAGTGGGTTATTCTAATGTTTGAACTTTTGGAAATCTGTAAGCGTAATAGAAGTATGACTATCTGATTTTTCATATTTTGCACAATGTTTCATGTGTCATTTCATCTGATCTATACCATTCTACCATGAAACACATAGAACAGTATTATTAACCCATTGTATAGATCTGGAAAACACACTTCAGATGAACAGTGGAATTGGTCCAGAGTCTTCCAGTTGGTAAAGTGAGAGCTGGAATTCAAAGCCAGAACTTCTGAGGTCATGTCTGAGGCTCCTTTTCCTATATCCAACTTTCCCCCTCTCATCTTGCCATAATAATATCCCCATAACCCCCTAAACCCTGGAAAAAGAAATACATTATCTTGCTTGACTGTATAAAGAAAAACTTTACTTACCTTAAGAAGATCTACCACAGTTTCAGCAAATCCCACCACATACATAGCAACAGCCACTGCATTGGCAAAAGCAAAGATCAAGCCTATTGACCCACCAAACTCAGGCCCTAAGCTCCTGGAAATAAGGTAGTAGGCTCCACCTGAAATAAGAAAGGAACATATTTTACATTGAGTAATTGCCAAGAATTTAATTTACATGATCAAATTATTTTGAAAGTCTGAAAAATTTTAAATGTTAATTATTCTAATAAAGCATGACAGCTTTCTAATAATTTTAGGGCTCCTGTGTCATCATAATGAATAACCTAGCCATTCCTTGTACTCTGTACGTAATCTACAATAGAAGTATCCTGACTTAATGAATTCAATTTATTGAAACTTAAATGCAAAAAAATGCTCTATGCAAGAAATTTTTATCAAAAAATTCTTTGTCTTTAAAAAAATATCACTGTAGTATTCAGATTAATAATGTGATTGCAGTAAAATAAAACTTTATGTCCAAAATTTTCAGAAACGAACAGGCCTAGAAAGAAAATGAAGTGGAAGAAGTTGGTCTTTATTCTTTCAACTTCCTTTTCTATCCCATAAAATGTTCTTGGATACACTTGCTGTATAAAACAAGGTATCAATATAATGCTACATACTGTTCCTTCTAAAAATCAGACTTGGTTTTTAGCTCAACAAGGCATGATTATTGCCAAATACCATAATTGGGGACCAAGTGGGAGGCAAAGCAGGAAAGGTTTGGAACAATTGCCTCTTCCTTGGCCATGTCTGTGTCCTCCTGTGTACAGGAAAGACTAAGGTGACTGACTGGTCAACAGCCTGAATCGTACCTAGAGCAAGTTAGTGATTTTTTTTTTTTTTAAAGGCTATATGAGAGAGCCCTGATTATTTAAAAGACCATCACAACAATTTTCTATATGGAACTAGTCTTGGAGGTAGGCACAGTGGACTTGGAAATAACATTGAACAAATGCACTGAAAAACAGGAAAACCACCTTCTACTGAGAAGGAATTTCTTTCACTAGAGTAACTGCTTTGGGTTAAGTGACCAAAGTCTTCTCTAAAAATGTAATGTATTTTCTGGGTAGAGCAAATCCACATTATTTCCTTTAGCTTGTTTCATTAAACAAGTTAGCTAGACAGTTAAATAGGTAGGCTTGGTCAAAATGAGAGTCAGGCAGAAGTTGGCAGAGGAAGTATTTTGTGGGTGGGATGGTGTTTTAGAAGGCCCTGATCAAGAAGACCTGGTTCCCAAAAAAGTAGACCCCAAAAGCCAAGGGAAAGGCAATGAGGAAGAAGTTAGAAGAACAATAATGAATTTCATCCACTTCATTTTCTATCTAGGCCAACCTGCTGCTGATAGCTTGCAAACTTTTTGTTTTTATTTTCTTCTTGATGATCTTTTCATGCCTGTTGGCCATGAGGAGCATATTGTTTGGGGTGAACCTTGAAGGCTGGGCACAGGATGATTTACTGAATGGGAATCATCACTAGTGTCAGGTAAGGTGCTAGAGAAGACCTATCCTGAAGGGACCTAAGAGAAGGCTGGCAGGAATCTTCCTTGTATAAAAATAGACCTCATATTTTGTTGTATTCCATACTTTCTTACTAAACAGATAGTCATCCTATTAAAAAAAAAAACAAAACATGTTTTATCCTAGGAACTAGGTAAAAGAGGTCTTTTCTGGAGATCCCCTAATTTTAGTTGAGAAGCATGTTGCCTTGTTGTTTAAATTTTTTTTTTTTAAACTTTGGAGGCTAATTAGCAACATGAAAATTTCGCTCCCAGTATTAGACCATTTTAAAAATTGCTCTGTAACCTAAGCTCATAGTCATAAGTAAATTGACTTACCTCCTCGTACTACTCCATTTGTGCAAATAGCAGACATAGAAATACCTGTGAGTGTTGTCACTACCACACTCAGGCCAATGATGACGACTCCAAGACCTGCAAAATCCCCCAAGAAAGGTGTTTGGCTCCAGAACTGAGATAAGTCACCAGGACTTCAGGATGCAGCAGTCTGTCTGTCAGAGAAGGATCCGTCTCCCCATGAAAACCTGAAATGTTCTAAAAGATCCCCATTCCATGGAGGTCTAGGAAGCACCTGAAATGTACTAAACTTTAAAACTGAAGTCGTGTGGAGGAGTCAGTTTCTAAGAAACACCAGCAACAGCTGTGCAGACTTGCCTGAAAAATAAAATGTTTACCAGAGGCATTTGTGCATCTGTGAAGCTTGACCTGCAATGTGCCAGAGAGGTCTATGAGAAAGGAGACCAGAGCTGACCAGAGGAGACCTGGACTATACTCACCATACCTGATGCTTCCCTCTGCATCCAGATCCTCCAGACACTTAGCCAGGCTTCAAGAACACAGAGCTATTTCCTTGTTCTCATCAAAAACAAGTATATAAAAAGTTTTTGCATACCCGTAGTAAGTGATGAGGGTATTAGATATCTTAGAGATTTTACCTCCACGAACAAACCCGTTAGTTGCTATTGCAGAAGTTGACAACCCAGTAATAGAAGTTACCATGGTGGAAAGAAGAATTATGAGAACTCCAAGACCTGTTAGCAATGAAAGATAGAAGATATTACATTTCACTTTTCTCCTATGGTTTCCTTACTTCTGCAAACTATACAGCTTTTAATTTGAGTTTCCAAGTCCATGTCTTGGGCCCCAATGGGGTTTCTTGTGCTGAGGAGAGACTGGTATGCCTGGCATAAAGATCAAGTCTGAGAACCACTCGTTATGATGAAGGATGGTTTACCAAAGTAAACACAATCTAAAATGCAGCCCTGGAAAGGAAAAGTTGACTTATGCTGGTGTCCTGGGAGAGAAACTACCCTGGCTGTGAAAAGAGAAAACATGACATTTGACCTTCTCTCTTGCTTGAGAGGAACATGAATGAGAAAGTTGGGGATTTGACAAAGGTTAAATCCTTCTCCATTTTTCTTGCATTCCTTTGCTGGTGGGGAGGGAAAGAAAGGAACCAACTTGTATTACCTTTGAAAACACTCCCAGAAAGGTCAGTGGTGAGCTATTTGAGCCTGTGTTGCCTTTACCTTACAAATGATGTTGCGGGTCACAAGTTTAATTACCTCCTCTGACATATCCATTTGTGGCAATAGCAGAGGTGGATAAACCAGTGATACCAGTCACTGTCACGGCTAAGCCGATGATAATCACACCAAGACCTCAGTTGAGAGAGGAAAAATAAAGGCAATTAAATGGTGGAACAATCTATTGGGTCATTTGCATAAAAACTAACAAACCTAAGGTCATCATTGAAGGACCACATTTGAGAATCACAGGTTGGCCAGGAAATCATCAAACAATCAATGTTCAACTTTGAAGTTTTCTGTCAAGAGCTAAAATGTGCAAAGCTATGTTGCATGCAACTGAACAACTGAAATGGGTCAAAATATAATGCGAACCCTGGGGTTAGTGACATTCTAGAAACCAATGAACAAAAAACGAATCTATACTATCCCAAGCTGTTAATATAACTGTAGATCAAATGAGATTCCTCCTAGTTAACTTTCTTTTTTGTACATTGGTCCTGTAGGGGTGGAAAATTACATACAGGATAGCAAACTATTCATCGGACAGACGGGTAAGGTAGAAAGAATCAAATCAAACTACATTAACTTACTGGCTGTGTGACCTCTGGCAGGCTACTTATTTTCTGAGCCAAAGATGGCAATTGAGTTAGAAAGAATGCATATGTTAAGTTGCTACCATAGTACATAGAACATAGTACATAATCAAGCTTTTTCACTGTATTTGCAACAGTCATAAAGGCTATTGTTTATTAAAAGCCTTCTATATATAGCTGTGTGGTAGGTAGTGTGAGAGCCTCAAGAAAAAATAATATGAAATGAAAAAAGCTGCCCTTGAAGATCTAA